ATCGACGTATGCTACGCAGCTTAATACTATCAGAGCATGAGCGAGGTCTATAGGTAAGATTTAGTAATAAGGCCGCCAGACGTAGGAAAGAGATGACAAAAGACCTATGGACGTATGTTCCTACCTATCTATATTAGTATTAGAACAGTAAAGTGGGTATAGGCACAGCTAAGAGGCAGCAGTGAATTTTCTGCCTGCTTTTCTTCACATCTTCATCACGAAACCCTAAGATGCAAATACCACAACTGGCTACCTAACGCGTTAATAAGCCAATATTTTGGAAACATCAATACGCCGTCACACGTCATAGATGCTGAGTATAAGACAGCTGAACACTTAGGAACTAAGGAATATATCCAACATATCCAGAACCATCTTGCGTGTAACAGCAGCTATAATCATATATATAACACCTAAGTTTCGAATATATATCTGCAAAGTCCCTTTGAAACGCTTCCGTCCAGCAGGACTAAGCTCAGTATGATTACTATCGCTCGACAAACTTATTACACCAGCACAGCACTTGAGGCAGGCAGAGAGGCACAGCATTATGCGTTATCGCTAATCACAGCATAGCATCAAGGGATAATACCTAATATATATAGCTAATCAAAACCAGCGAGGATAACGAACAGCACTCTATGCAGATAAGAAGGATGTGATCCCTCGTGAACAGAGGTAGAGCAGCAGGGAGTAACAGTATGTTATGCTTTAGGAGATCTGCAGGCCAGGCTAGCCTTAAGTATGTTGGTAAGAAGATAGAGCTGCGATCAATCAGAAGACCGGAAGATGCTGAGACATCAGTGGCAGCCGGCTAGCAGTGCCTTCAGAAGCCCCCGGGGGCTTAGTTGATACTCTCATATCAGTGGCATAAGTTATAGGGGAGTAGCAACAGAGAAACTAGGGTTGCCTTCGCATGCGAGAACGTTCGCTCCTATTCGCTCCTACGGGGGGATTAATATCCCTAACATACTGGCAACGATAAATGATTGTATCATTCATCGAAACTGCCACCCAAAAAAGAGTGGGTCCGCGAAGACTGGGGGTAAGATTCATTGAAATCTTGCCGAGTATCATTCATTGAACTTTCTGCGCCCAAAATGTCTGTATTATAGATGCACTTGAAGATAACAGTGAGTTATTCTTTTTGACTGAGTTTCTGGCCTGTAGAACACCCAGTTGAATTGATAAATATTTAATCTAGGTTTGAACGATCTTAAACTGCTGACAGTGACCCACTCGGTCTGGACTAATTGACGACAGTATTATTAACCACTAACTTATGTAAGCATTCCAGGGAGACACTATAATCCAGATAACACCAGCGCCAGCTTATTTCAACCTAATTAAATTATTAAATTCATAAATTTTGTTCTAATAGTAACCTATAGTAACCTAATAGTTAGCATACTTTATTAAAAGGGTTAAATAAGATATTTTCGACGTTCTTCTGCTAGAAAATATAAACAACTTCTAACTTCGCTTATGATTATACTCTAAGACTGGACGAGGCTATAGATCCACTTGTGATTCTTACTAACTTCTCGCTCGCAGTATGTAAAGAATATTAATACGCAGTTGTTACAGACGAATGTTACGACCTGTAAACAAGGATAACAGCTGAACGACCCACTCGGGCGTCGGGCGGCTAGGACAGGACATTTGTACTGCAGGATCACGGGAACAACAGGGACTCACTCGGAGACGGAAGAACTATGATATAAGTCACGTGATGATAAGATAAGACTGAGCAGGCAGTGTGGATCACTGAGCGCTCAGTCGAAGTTACTGAGCGCTCACCAACAGTTAATGAGCGCTCACTGGTACCTGGTGAGGGATCAGTGATAGAGCAAAGGGTACTGTTCAGAACTTGTATATAGTATGACCCTGAGCCCGGCTCATGGTCAGACTTCTATAGCTCTTCAGCAATCAACTTAGTATTCATCCTCACGGATACTCTCAGCTTACCTTCACTGCGAATCACTTGTTGAGTCTAAGACTGATCACCTTAGCCTCTGAAGACCCGATCTACTACAGCCTACGAACTACGACCTACGACCACGACCCAGTGTACTGTTAGAACGTATCAATCCCCAGCTTCTGTTAGCAGACCCTACTGTCGGATAGCTGACCGTAACAACGAAGTCGCTTTGCATCTGAGAACGCGCCATCCGCTCTTAAAACCAGCAGAGAGGAACAGCATATACGCCTATATAACAGGAATCCACAGAATTATTCGAACTCAGGACCAACTCAGTAACATCCAGTATCCAGCCCCCATAACAGAGCTGATTCCCTATATCGCGCCGCTAGTCACAAACAGAATCTGTTGCAATACGTGCAGTTTCATATGCCAGCAGATTCAAACGATCTAAGCCTATTGCCGCAAGGAATATAGATAGGTTAATGCTCAAAAGAGAGGCGGCGATATGAGAGGCTAGGCAAGCGAGGTCAGGAGCATGCTGTGGACAGTCAGCGTGCAATATCAGAGATTCTGCGCATCCCAGCATAGCAAGCGATAGTTTGAGGTGGCCTGGGGATAAACAGCTGACAAGTCTCTACAAAGCGCTCCGAATAGAAGCCTGGCTCAACAGGTGGTGGACTGCGTTTGAGATCTCTAGAAAGTCTAAGCAGAACGTGTGAAGACGAGCCACAACAAGCTGATCTGCGTCGCTAACAAAAGACTTAAGCCCAGCCTGTGGCTGGCCTATATAGGATAGGTGGTGCACTTAAAAGGGCTTAGTGCTAGCGCACTCTTCAACACAACAGCTCCTATCAATAAAGATGAGGTTATGCTTCAGGCGATATAGGCGACGGTCGACCGCGTGCTGGACCAGGCTCAAGCAACGTCTGCTCCTAATACCATCAGGCTAGCCGTGCTGTTCGAGGCGCAGCGTACAGAAGCGCACGTCAAACCAAGGAGGCCGTTCGACAACCGCATAGAGGATGACACGTGGGTGAGATATAAGGGCGTGTGGCTAAGTCTGTTATACGTCTGGTTCCGCACGTAGGAAATAGATGACGATAAGCGGCCGCCGTATAAACTGACGCCGTCACAGGGAGAGGCGTGGGACTTATTCGAGCAGATAGCGGAAGCAGCCAGCATGGGGATGGGGTATTAAACGCAGGAGAAGCTGGAACGCGCAGCACTCAATATGCTCATCAGCATGCTGGACCACCAGCTGAAGGGTGGAGACTACAGTAGTGCTCTTCTCAGCGCTCTCGCAGTGATAGGGATTGCTGAGAATAGCAGCTAGGTCTAGATCACAGACTATATAACGAAGTACTCAGCTGTTATTAAGATAGTGTGTATATTAGTGATCTATCAGGTATACACTAAGCGTAATAATAAGGTTGCTAAGCTGGAAAGGTCTCTAGGGAAAGATAAAGTAGAGGATATAGCGCAGAGTTTATTCCAGCATATACAGGCGAAAGTGCAGCAGTTTATAACGCAGACGATAAGCGATAAGGATGTGGAGCTGACGCTAATAGACTGGATTCTCAAGACGCAGACGTATAGGATGCATATCCAATATAACACAGCAGCAGCTGGTGTTATTAACTAGGTTGGCGATCGCATGTTATATAGGCAGGTATGGTTCACAATAGGGCAGCTGTCAGACGCACTATATAAGCTGGTCTGAGAGACGCAGGAGCTGCTCATAGAGCTGACAGCAACAGAGGATTCAGGTTCAGCAGACAGTCCCAAAAGCGATATGCAGTCATAACTGCCAGCCATCCTATGGTTGTTAATTGAAGATAACCACAGCGAGATAAAGCCTAGGTATTTATTTCTCACTAACAACCGCAACAGCTGGGTTTCTGCTGGGGATAGATAGCTGTTTATATAGCTGGCGCGGTCACCTGCTGCTGCAGAATAGTGGGGACTGAGCAGCAGCTTAGGCAACAGTCGCAGGGCGACAGACCGGCTATTCCAGCCGTCAGCTGTACAGGAGTTTGGTAGGACGTTTGAATAACTCTGCGAGCGACTGTGGATGCTTCTGCATATGCTTAGCAGACAGCTGGCGCAGGCGAGCAAGCTTATAGGTCTGCAGATAGTTAACACAGTTAATAGGGGCGTCTGCAATATCATAGTGCACGACAAAATGTTATGCTTTATCACAGCATACTATAAAGGATACCAGACGACCAGGCAGGCGAAGGTGATCTACTGATATCTCCTGAGGGAGGTTAGCAAGCTTATCATATAGTATCTTTAGCTTATCTTGCTGTTCTGGCAGGAGGTGCAGGGCATCATGCATGAGGCCAGCAGGTACAGCGCGTTCATATAGGCAGACGATATCATCCAGCAGAGGGACTCAGAAGCCAGCAGCGCAGCAGCAGGATCAGAAGAGCAAAGTGGCAATAATATAGATATCAGGGATAGTAATAATCACAGTATAAATAAAGATGAGGCTAGTGATAAGAGCATAAGTGTAGGCGACTAGATATAGAAAGAGGAGCAAACATAGACGACAGACAGAGCGCAGCAGATTATGCAGCAGACCAGCATAAGACTGCTGGGATGCTAGGTCAACATAAGCATATAGCGACATATCGCTATCAGCATCACTAACTGCTACTTAAATAAGTCGTTCGGACAGCTAGGCGGAGATAACGCTAGCGTGGGATCAGAAGAGGGGACAGACGAGGTTGAGGACAGCCTGTGGGACTTGCAGGCGGGGCACAGCATGCGGATAGCAGGCATGATCTACACGCGAGAGCTTATGCAGTTCGGCAGCAGTCTCACAGCGAGGCAGCAATAGTTCTGCTGAGTCAGCCGTTAGTAGCATAGGTTTCTAGGCTTTAGGGCTGAGGATTCAGAGTTGAAATAGGGTTCTGCAGGCTGCAAGAGGAAAAAGACGGAGGCATACAAAAGGCTACAGCTTGCAGCTAGGCTCCAACGATTTGAGAAGCTGAGGAGAATTAACTTAGAGGGCCAGCTGCAGCAGATGACGGGGGACGACTTAGCGATATTCTGTGGAAACCAGAGAGAAGCAATGCTTGCCATCACCAGCAGGCATATGCTGATCATGCAGGTGATAGGGACGGGCGGTAGCAAGAGCGTCTTGTTCATGCTGCCAGCATTCTGCTCGCCAGACGGAGTGACAGTGGTTGTGATGCTGCTGGTGGCGCTGCAGACAGATCTATATAGGCGATACGTCAAGGCGGGGATCACTTCGCACGTGTGGCAAAGCCGCAAGAACAACCAGGCGGCGTCCATCATCTTCGTCACACCTAAGTCGGCCGTCACAAAGGGATTCAGAGACTTTATCGCACAGCTAGAAGGGAGGCAGGCGCTAGACTGCGTCGTTATGGACGAATGCCACGTCATGCTCAAAGGATCACAGAGCTTCCAGCCACAGCTCAGAGAGCTCAGAGAGGCGATCCGCAAGTTCGGCGTACAGACGATATGCTTAACGGCGACGCTCGCGCTAACAGACAAAGCAGCATTCTTCTACGCTATACAACTGGAGGCCAGCTGGGTGAGGATGTTCTAAACGGCGACGACGCGCAAGAACATCTGATACTCTGTCGTCACAGTAAGCGAGAGGGCTAGTGTGGAGGGCGTCAGTGGCGTCAGTAGCGCAGAATAAGACGAAGATAACATAGAGCTGGCGAAACTTAACGCAGTTGAGGCTAAGATATGCTAGGTAGCAGTCCAGTAGGTGAATAAGCTTCTGGCTGGCAGCAGGCGAGGCAAGGCTGTTATGTACGCCATGTCGATCAAGCAGGTGGAGCGTCTAGGGTTAGCGCTAGGGTGCGCTATATTCTTCAGCAATATCGACTCAACTGAGGGCAAGGCGGCTTGGCTTGAGGTGTGGCGTTAAAGCAACAGGGCTGAGGGCGTCATGGTTGTAACGAACGCACTAAGACTAAGCATTAACATCCCAGACGTGCGGCTTGTGATCTATGCTGACATACCAATAGGACTCCAGCGATTTATGCAGGAGAGTGGGCGGGCAGGTTGCAACAGGCAGCTGAGCGCATCAGTTGTTATATGCTGCTGCAGCAGCAGCAGCAGCAGCAGCAGTCTATAACGGGAGGCGGCAGTAGAAGAGTATCTCGCTAGCGACGAATATAGGCGGATCATTCTCAACCGAGTGATAGATAGGAGAAGCAACCGCTCTAGTTGCAAGGATAACGAAGAAGTCTGTAACGTCTGCCGCAGGTATAGAAAAGGGCTGGAGCTAGGGTTTATTCTCAACTATATTAGCGAGGATAGCGAAGCAGGCTGGGCGGAGTTTCTAGGGCTAGACAGGCATGCGAAGCTGGACTAATAGAGGGTTAGGATGGAGAAGATAGGCAAGGCTGGCGATATAGAAGCGTTTCTCGCGCAGCTTCACCAGCAACGCAGGAGGTGCGCGTTATGTTTCAGGGCAAGGGATAACAACAGGCATAAGTTTCCCAGGTGCCTGAGGAAGGAAGAGATGGAGTGGATATAGGCGCAGCAAGGTATAAGGACTGCGGAGCGGGAGATCTTCAGCAGGAGACGTCTTGAGCGGTTCTCCAGCTGCTTTAACTGCAGGATTCCGCAGGAGTTTTATAAGCAGTGGGAAGGCGAGGCAGAGGATGGCGGGCGGTTCCACTGGGTAGAGGGATAAGCGTGCTAACTAGGAAGTATGCTGATCAAGGTGTTCGCAGCCAGTATAGCAAGGCTTCCCGAGGTGGTGTAGGGCGGCATACTCAAAGAGCAGATAGCTGCTGAAGGAGTGCAGGTTGCAGAAGAGGGAAGAAATAGTTAGGATGTTTTTTATATATAGCTAGGAGGGCGAATTTTATAGGGAGGAGTTAAGAGTAGCTGTTTATATAAAGTAACTTGGCTTTTAATACAGCAGGTTAAAAAGGAGGATGAGAAGTAGCTGTTTTAGGTGATAAAGGAGTTTATAGGTTAGGGTTACTTTAAGAGTTTATAGTAGAGTTTAGGGTGAGGATGAAAGTTTTAGGGTAGATGTATTATTAGATATGAAATAGGGTAAGAGTTCTAAATTATCGATATATGTCTTGAAAAGAGAAGAGTAAGTATTAGGGTTAGAAGTAAGATAGCAACTTCAAATTAGTTAAACTAGACGAAGAGATTATATATAGAGAACAGAGATATATAAACTATAGTTCGATATTAAGGTTTCATATATATGAAGTAGAATTTAAACTACATAGATATAAGTTAAGGTTTAGAAATAAATATAAAGGTTTATATAATAAAGAAGGTAAGTAGAGTTATAAGAAGGAAATTAGATATAGAGAAGAATTATAAAGCAGTAATAAACTTATATTAGACGTATAACACGTTAGGGTTAGAGGGTTAAGTAAACTAGAATAAGAAAGTTAAAACTAGATTTAAGGTTAGGGTTAAAACTAAAGTAGTAGAAAAAAGAAAGGGTTATAGTTATTTTTTGTAGAAGAAAAAAGAGATGGAGTAAAAAGAAAGAAAAGTTAGGGTTATATAGAATAGGGTTAAAAGTTAGGGTTATTTAGAATAAGGTTAAAAGAGTTAGGGTGAGAAAAATGAAAGGGTTGGGGTTATTTTGAATAGAGAGAAAAAGATTACTACTAAGGTTAATAGAAGGAACTAATAGGAACTAGAGTAAGAAGTAAATATAAAGTGAGACAGGAACTATAAAGAAAACGATTATATAGGATATTAAGAGGAATTAAGTAGTAGGGTTAAAAGAAAGATAGATAAGTATACTTAGAAATAGAATACGTGGTCAAGACTGTAATGGAAACTGAAATATACTTAGGGTAAGAGAAGATAATAAAAGAGAATGATATCAAAATATAATAAAGACTATATTATTATCAGAAGTTTACTTAGCATTATAGAAGAGTATTTAAGACTATAATGGAATGAATACGCAAAAGCTGTACTGATAGGAAATAGTAAGGAAGAAAGACGAAGGACTTTAGGAATAAGTTTAAAGAAATAGAAAAAGGTAGATTTAGAGGAAGAGAGAGTTAAAGTTATAGCAGAATAGAATATTGAAGTTGTTTTTTAGAAGAAGAGTGAGAGACAATATAAAGTAAAGAAAGGTTTACTATAATGAGGGATATAGATGAGAAGTTTATAAGGAATTAAATAAAAATATAATTGAAATAAGAGTTTGAACTACTATAAACTAATAGTTAGAACTATTAAAAAGAACTAGATTTAAAGTCTTATAGTTAGAATGAGAATATACGAAAGTAAGTCTAAATATGAGTAGCCCCCGCCCACGGCACCAGTCGGGGGGGTTAGGGCTAGGACGGACAGACCCCGCGCGAGGCAGGTAGGTTTTAGGTAGGTAGGTTTGTTTAGGTAGGCAGGGTGGGCAGGGCAGGTAGGTAAGTAGGTAGGAGCACATAGTAGTTCTTTATCATCTAGCTATTTAATTCATCATCTCCCTCCTGACTAATATAAGTAGAAAGCCCCGCGGGGCTTTTTATGTTTTCTTTTCCCCTATGGACAGACCGACCTCCCCACATTCAGCCGGAAGTCGTCCGCGCCTAGTCAATAAGCCCCGCGGGGCTTCTCTTCCGTCTTCTACAAGCCTACTTATGAGCTAGACAGGCAACTTATAAAGTTTGTTAACTGAGAACACCTGTAGATAGAGCGGCTGCTCTATATTTCCATAAGCCTATTAAGCAGCGGCAGACCTGTATATTCAGTTTTAGTATGGAGAAGCCCCGCGGGGCTTACTACTATGATAATCAAACGACTTATGTTACAGCACAGAACAGCAAGCCCCGCGGGGCTTCTCATCTTCAGTGAGCTTATTAGCAAGCTGGAAGGGTCTTATAGTAAACATATTTAAGAAGCCCTGCGGGGCTTATTATGATGATCAACTAACCTACGTTAAAGCATAGAATAGCAAGCCCTGCGGGGCTTTTCATCTTCAGTAAGGTTGACAGTAGCGAGGTGACGGGCCTCATGATGAGGAGCATCCTTAAGAAGCCCCGCAGGGCTTCCTATGATGTTTAATAGAAAATACTTTATAGTTAGCAGAAACCACCTTACAGCATAGCATAGTATAGTAGCAGTAGGTAGTAGTAGTGTAGCTTACACACAGCAGTAGCTACTGTAGCTCAGTCACCAGCAGCTCAACAAGCCCCGCGGGGCTTTCTCTAGTAAGCTCGCCAGCGGGCTGGGAAGGTTTCCAAATCAGCATCCTTTAGGAAGCGCCGCAGGGCTTCCTATATTATCATATATTATCAGTCAGCAGAAATTACCTCAAAGGCATAGCTTAGGAAGCCCCGCGGGGCTTCCTATAATGATCCACAATAGCTTACGTTATAGCATAGAATAAGAAGCCCCGCGGGGCTTCCTCGTCTCTCTATGAGCAGCAGGAAGGAGTATGCCGGTAGGCCAAAGGAACCTAAGGTTCGTCGAGACGCCGCGCCAAGCTTTTCAGTTTTCGTAGACTTAACGGTCCGCAGAAGGACTTATTAAGCCAGTCAAGAGCCCCCGAAAGGCCTTTTTCTCTCTGTGATCGGTCTTCAGCACGCTCAGCAGATGTTGGATATGCTCCTCATCATAAGCCCCGCGGGGCTTTCTCCAGTAAGCTTGCTGGCGGGCTGGACAGATTTCATAATCAACATCTTTAGGAAGCCCCGCGGGGCTTCCTGTATTGTTCAGCAGCAGAAATTACCTCGCAGCATAGCTTAGGAAGCCCCGCAGGGCTTTCTATCCTTCCGAGCATACGTCAGCGGCAGCAGCACTAACTAATATACCTCTATAGCAGATGGAGAAGACCTGCTATAACTTTCTCCAGAATAGAAAATCCTTTCCTAAGCAAACGACTAAAGAAAGATGAAGGACTGCACAGAACTTGCTGGACAGGGCTGATCACAGCGTAATAGCTGTGTTATAGCAGGAGTGGCAGCTATATGGGAGGGAAGTAGTAGTAGTAGTAGTAGTCTATAGGAGAAACTAGCCTGCTAATAAATATAGGTAAATATATATAGGATCAGAAAGGCAGAAGAAGAAGTATAAGACTGAGGGGCAGTATGATATAGAAAGGAAAAAGGAGAACAAGAAGAATCCATCCGATCCACACACGTGTCCTCGACTTAACAGCTGCTTACGATAAATTCCAAAGACGTACTGAATAACGTAAGCAAGGGAGCTTTGGAATGCAAATGATGGGGCAAACGGAGCTAGCTGGCAGGCGCTGAGCGTGTTACCCCCTCGACGAGAAGGAGGGGGCTTTCCATCAGTTGACGGGCGACGTCAGCGCCCACGCCTGAGTCTGAAGACCCTGAATAGGCACTATCAGGGCTACAACCTATAAAGTGGTTGATATAGTACGGATAGTATCTCTAGTGCATATCTCGTCGTGGGCAAAATAGGCCAAAGGGCGTTCGAAGCAGTCAGGGAAGAGGCGATAACGAGACATAGATAGACAGCCCTATATCCTGCAGCTACTGGCCGGAGAGCAAGAGCGTTATATAGGATGTGAGGCGTAGCTGGAAACAAATGGCTGGGTACCCCTTGTCAGGCTTCTGCTGTTGTCTCATCCATCCCTTCTTCATATTACCTAAGCCCTCTGATTATGTAACCGCTGCAGGTATGTATCGACATATGCTACGCAGCTTAATGCTATCAGAGCATGAGCGAGGTCTTCAGGTGAGATTTAGTAATAAGGCCGCCAGACGTAGGAAAGAGATGACAAAAGACCTATAGACGTACGTTCCTACCTGTCTACATTAGTATTAGAACAGTGAAGTAGGTATAGGCACAGCTAAGAGGCGGTAGTGAATTTTCTGCCTGCTTTTCTTCACATCTTCATTATGAAACCCTAAGATGCAAACACCGCAGCTGGCTACCCAACAGGTCAACAAGCCAACATTTTGGAAACATCTATACGCCATCATGCGTTAGAGATGCTGAGTATAAGACAGCTGAACACTTAGGAACTAAGGAATACATCCGACATATCCAGAACTATTTTGCATGTAACAGCAGCTATAATCATATATATAACACCTAAGTTTCGAACGTATATCTGCAAAGTCCCTTTGAAACACTTCCGTCCAGCAGGACCAAGCTCAGTATGATTACTATCGCATAACAAACTCATCACACCTGCATAGCAGTTAAGGCAGGCAGAGGCACAGCATTATGCGTTATCGCTAATCACAGCATAGCATCAGGGGATAATACCCAACATATATAGCTAATCAAAACCAGCGAGGATGACAAACAGCACTCCACGCAAACGAGAAGATTATAATCCCTTATAAACAGAGGTAGAGCAGCAGAGAGCAACAGTATGTTATGTTATAGGAGATCTGCAGGCCAGGCCAGCCTTGAGTATGTTGGTAAGAAGATAGAGCTGCGATTAATTAGTAGACCGGAAGGTGCTGAGATATCAGTGCCAGCAAGCCAGCAGTGCCCTCAGAAGCCCCCCGGGGCTTAGTCGACATGCTTATATCAGTAGCAACAGAGAAACCAGGGCTGCCTTCGCTGGTGAGGACGTTCGCTACGACGGGGAAATCAATATCCCCTACCGCTATCATCAAAATAAAGATGGAGAAGCCTTGAAGAATATAGAGAAGGTGTATATAGCTAGTGGGCTGGGCTTCTGATGTGACCAAAACCAAAAGGGATAATAGCCTAGACATTAAGATTACGTTGAGACAGCAGGGAGACAGCTCTAGTGGTAGTATATACGCACAACAGAACAGGTGGGCATGTTTACAGGCACACAGCTTCAAAAGGAAAGTACGTGTGAAACAGGTGGGGTTATATAGGAATATGAGAGGTGTGGCAGCTCCTCCCTCTGACAAGGCATATAAGGGAGGTTTAGGAAAGGCCTAGATGAGAACGACAGTATATCTGCCTACGACATATTTGACGCCTTTAGAATGCCAGAGTCGACCATTAGGACTGAGCGACGTGAAAACAGCCCTAGAACGTGAAAACTTAATTAGCTGCGCTCTATATGCTTCTCTCTCCTCACTTACTTATTTTGCAGTTGCTAACAAAGGAAAAGTAACAAAACGAAAAACGCTAAGCTTAGATATGGCCAACATAGCGGCTGGGACAAAACGGAAAGGCGGCAGCGAAGACGGCGGTGTGGTGTAGTTGGCGCCGAAACGCCGCTTAAAGAAGCATATGCCCTTCTGAGAAAGCGAGTCGATCCAGGAGCGCGCAAAGCCCTACCTGTTAGCTGTCGGTAAGCTGCATATCGATATACTGGATATAACATAGAGCACCAGCAGGAACTGCTGTGTCGAGCTGGGCTACGTTCAGGAGCTGACGGAGGTATTTATAAAGGGCGGCCTCAAACGTGGTGCTCTGGAGAACCATCTACTTATCCTCTGTGGCGCTGACGAGGTCCATCAGATGCAGCAGAGAACGGAAGGCGGCGACGCTGCTGCCTGAGACGATAGCGATAGCAACAGCAACAGCAAAGCAAACTTCCTCCACTGGTCCTCCATCAACAAGACTAAGGTGGAGGTTATAGCGGGACAGCACCAACTTTGCGCCCTCCGAGAGTACATTAAGGCAATAGGCGCGCTGGAGTCTGACGCCTAGTGGACATATGAGCTGTACGATAAAGGTGAGCCTCGTTCCGCCTCGACATCAGCAGGAACGCAAGAGTGTTGATAACCCCACAGATCATCTCCCCGCAGACCTCAACATCAAACTGCGCGTTAACTGCAGAGACCTAAGCCTTCCAGACAATCATAGGTAGATCTGGAACCATCTAGTGTTAATTGCATCAGTCGCAGCAGGTTCCAACCCAGGGAGCCAAGTGACCGTTAACTATAGGCTTATCGAGGCTCTCTATCTCAGCAGCGAGAAGAGTTTTCCGACACGCCAGCTTGTCACGCTCTGGAACTATAAAGGGTGGAGGGAAATCACAACACGCTGGTGCCAGACCTATTTAGGGCTTGAGACCTTCAATATCTCCACCTTCGAGTGGATGGCCAGCCTTCAGATTAACGAATACTGGTTTGCGACGATGAGGACCATGCTGGCCACGCTCAAGGCCCTGCCCCTCGACAAGACGCAGCACCTCAGACTGGAAGACTGGAGTCGTCTGGCATCTGGGCTATAAGGTGGCAAGGAGACCAGCAGGACGGCCGCAGGCTGGACATCAACCACATAGGATATAGTTGAGGCTATCTTCTTCACCAGTAATGGCCACTGCTGCGTGGCCGGCCTCCTAGAGACCTTGGACGATGCCATATACAGGGGGGTTTATCAGGCCGTCTGGAACAGGATGGATCTTCGCTTCGAAGACTTAAAGCAGTTCCTCTGCAACAGGAGGCTGGAGACAGAGGCTGCCGTCTGAGCGCTGCAGCATGTCATCAGCTGGGTAGACCGCACAAGCGCAGTCGAACTCAAAAGTGTGAACCCTAAGTTAAAGAACAAGCTGCAGCTGCTAGAGCATCTGGAAGACGCCCTCAACAGCCTCAGCTCGTCCAGGGGCGACTTGAGCAGCTTCCCTGCGAACATAGCACTACGTCTCTAGCAGCAAGTCCTAGACTTTGCCTGATGCAACGCTAAAGTCTTCTGGACACTAGAGGCATAGTCCCTCCTCGCCAGCCTAATCACCCACGTTGACAACCCAATATATAGGAAGCGGTTTGAGGATGCGTTATAGGCACGCCTCCTATAAGTTGTCCGGCGTACTGTTGACCCTCAAGATGGGATATATATCCTCCAGCCTGCATGGGAAACAGTGAACGCTACTGAGGGATGCCTTCGCGAAGCTTAGGTGTCAACGCTTATATCTGCTTTCTGCTCCGATCTCATCCGGCTGAGCGATCAGCCAATACGAAAGAAGGATATTATACTTCTTGCCCTCCAGCGGCAGATCGAAAAGGTCCTAGCAGCATCCGCAAGCGAGCTGTAAGGAATCATCCTAGCCAGCGTAGTCTCATCAAACAAACCACTTCAGCATCATCCTGCTAATAGCGATAAAGATAATAACAGAGGGGATAACGACAGCAATAGCGACGACGATGATGATGATGATAACGATAATAGCTGCAGGCTGCATAGACCAGAATCAGCTTCCCGAGACCTCAGCCTACCACTGTCAGCACAGAGGCGGAGGCCTGCTTGAGACGCCAGCGCGAGAGAGGCATGAGGAATTGCTTCTAGCAGCCCAGAGACTTCCCCGCCTGAGGACAACCTGTCTTGGTCTAAAGGTTCTCCGCGCCAACCAGCAGGTGGCAGGCAACAGCAAGCAACAGCTGCGACTCCAACAGCAGGTCCCCTAAAAACAACACTAACCCTTACCTCTAAACCGACGCCGCATTAGAAGACAGGCCTGCAGGCAAGAAGAAAATGATTTCTCAGGAGCGGTCAGGAGGTGTGACTTAAGGGTAGGTCCTAGGCCTATATCACTATGCTGTGGACCTAGTCTGTCGTGAAGTTATGCACACTTATGCAAGAGCTATTCCAGTCAGTACTACAGTTATGTCTCGCTTTCATATCTATAATATTCTTTCTATCTGTTTCTATTTGTTTTTGTTTGCTATACCTCACCTCCAGTGTTATATCTACAGCCGTCATAATACGCCAGAAACAAGCTAGAAAATACAAATCATCTTCTTCAGAACGTATAACCACAGAGAAACAAGACCCCTGATAAGCCCTGCAGGGCTTTTTGTTGTTCGTCCCCTTCCTCTCCGACGGGCGCAGACGGCTTATACCTATCAGCGCGTACAGCATCCCACAGGAGGTGGGCAACAGGAGAGGGGCGAATATAATGTCTTGTCGTAATATACCTAAATTCATAGAAGAGATAGGTGTTGCAAATAAACAGCTTCGCACAGATACAAATAATCAGATGCCCTCAGGGTGTTGAGTGATAATAATAAGTGCTAACCATGGAAGCAAGAAGCTATAAGTCAGCACAGCAGTAGAGTAGCGTCAGTACCCCTAAGATGTCTATCCCCTCGTTACCAAACGAGGAACTCTGCGATAACCTTGACGAGGATGCAACATATATGCCTGGCGATATATAGCTGAGCGAAGACGAAGACAACGAAGGGGAGGATAGGGGCGTGAGAGGTATAAGCAGGGAGACGCAGCAGTAGGCGATCGATCACTCCACTAGTCACTATCGCCTCTAAGGTGAGCATATCTAAACCAGGACGCCAAACTTAATAATCAGGTATATAGCTGACTTATGCTTAATACGTAAGCATTATTGAAACAGCAGCTTGCTTTATTCAGAGAGTGCTAGCGAAGGACTTTAAGTCTACAGATGCGCTCAAAATGATGCAGGAGAAGCATACTATTGATTTCAGGTCGCGCAGGGTGGGGTGCACCTAGGCGAGGCCGTCAGATAGGTTCTTCCCGCAGTTTTATCTTGACTTCTTCAGCATCGTCAGCAAGCTAGGCTGGCTGATATTAAGACACAGCAGGCTAATTTTTAACAATATTACTATATCCTTCTAGCGGTAGTCAGCGCTATACGGGGCGAAGCATATCAGCAGGATCCCCTTCGACATCACTAGGCGGACGTTCAGAATTACGCAGGCGTCCACGCGCAAGACCTAGTTTATTATTATACACCTTATGACTGGAGAGATGTCTGAGCTGCTGTTATCAACCGCAGACGCCCAACGGAGGCGCAAGCAGGCTGGCGAGAAGAGCGGGATGCTAATACTATTAGCCTGCAAGCTGGCTTCATATATCACTAGCGTCTTTCAGTCCCTGGCGCTCCTTAGCGAGGGCATCCAGCAGTTATAGCGGCCTGGCGGTTAGGAGAGCTAACGAATCAGCTTAAACTGGTGGATAGCTTTCTAGGAGGCGTTCATAGAGGGCTGGGCAGCCTGGTTGGGGCGACACAGCAGTGCCACGTCGTTTTGGGCGAGGCATAAGCCGGCCTTCCACGCCTATAACTATAGGGCTAATATTGAGATCGAGGTGAGCGAGGAGCTGTACGACCTGCCGCAGGAGAGGCACTACGCTATAGACGACAGTGAGGACGAGGAAGACAGGGAAGAAACAGGAGGAGGCTGGGTAGATGACGATAATAACAACAACGACGATAAGGAGACGCTCCAGCTTGAACAGCTGTCTATAGCTAATAATAGGCCTAGGAGGGCAGAGGCGGAGGGAGCAGCAAACACAAACGGAAGCATGCGCGACAGTTATGGCAGCATCAACAACGCAAGGTACCAGCAGATATTCAATAAATACAACAGACTTCAGAAGCTTATATTAGAGCTTGAGACGTAGTTCTAACTGGAAAACATCACAGCCGTCTCATATACGCTAGCCGTCTGCATCAACAGCAACAGAACTACTGAGGCTGACCGTTCAGAGACATACTGTCTGCTTGCTGATAGAAACATACTTACAAAGGAGTTTGCAAGCACCTGCGACTACACTTTCTACCTGCAAGCGTTCCACCTAGTATATAGAAATATGTTATCTAACTGCCTGCCTATATTCCTCAACTCGCTCTTCGCTGCTATGAAGGGGAACATAAGCGATTAGAATGAGGGCGCTGACGTCCTCTTGTTCAGCTACTTCTAGGGATACTCAAACATCAAGCGAAGCGTTCGCTATAGCCCTCATGACTTATTAGCCATGAAGGGGTATGCAACAGGGGCGCTGACCGTGCCAACTTCAGATGCTGGAGCGACGTCAGCAGCGAGGGAGAAGCGCAAGCGGTTGCTGCGCATCATCTGCAGCCCTAACGAGTTGAAGCCTTTCGCAAGGGAGCGTCAGCAGATTGACGTTGCTGTTGAGGCTGAGGAGGTTGCGTTCCAGCTTGAGCAAGTTGTGTTGCTGGACGTGCGGCGTATGACTGGCGCTGAGCGGACGTTTAAGACTGTCATCAGGCCTATCTTCCAAATAATATGCTTCTTCCTTGTCGAGCATGAGTTGTTCGTGCATATATTCCAGTTGCTGCCACTTGAGATCTTCCTGCGCATCATATGCGCGTACTTATAGCTGTTTGAGCTTGTTCTTAACGAAATAGAGCGTCAGTTTGTCCTCAGCGGCGAGCAGGGGCTCGACCTAGCGCGTTCTGAGGCGGTCGCCGTTGTCGACCGGCTGGGCGGGTATATATTCTCAGGACATCTGCGACACCTCCTGAGGATAGTTCTCAGGCCGCTCAGCATGCTTAAGAGCTTATGGGCGGGCGGTTAGCCCTTCCTCAACCTAGCTGTGGTCAGCCTCAGCGCCCTAGGCTTAGGCGGGGCCGTCATCAACATAGGCTGGTAGCCTCACTCCGCCAGGACCAGGCGGCCTATGCTTCTGCACGTCTGGGAACTACACCACCATTACAGCGCCTAAGTCGCATCTTATTAGGAGAGTGCCGTCTGGTTCGCACAGCTGGGCGAGCATGCGTTTGCAAGCAAGACTGCAGTCGCTGCGTTCGCTGAGGAGCTCGTCCGCAAGCTGTAGGTCCTATAGACGAAGACCTTTATTATATAGCAGCTCAGGCGTCACCTTCACAAGGGCGGCAGCAACCTAGGTAGACCTATCATAATAGAAAATATAGCCTCATGTGAGACGACCATAGCGGCGTGGGAGGCGGCGCCCGACGTGTTCATATAGAAGGCGCTACAGCAACTATGTCGGGGGTTGCAACTCAGCAGCAAGCGCGTAGCTATTGCCGTCTCAAAGCAGCGCACACAGCATAACTTCGTCGCTAAACTCCTGCAGGTCATCAGCAGTAAGAAGGGGAGGGACTCCTTTGCAGCTAAGAATGCAACATAGCTGCTCACATTTCACTTCGCTATTATAAACAGTCGTAAGTCGGCAGATAGGATTAATATAGAGATATAGGTCGCTATTATTACAGGCTGCTTCCTCGCCGCCAGTATCAAGTGGGTGCCTAACTCTTCCTGCGGCTAGCTCACTTTGAGAAGCGTCGTGCGGCTAGGGGGGCAAGCCATAGTGCAGCTGGCGCCCTTCAGCCCCCTTGGATCGCTACAGCGTGCAGCACAGGAGGCGGAGATCAAGCATGAGAGGACGGCGAGGGACCAGGCGTAGCGCTAGGAATGCTAACCACATATCGACTTCAGCTGTCCCTTACTATTCACTAACATCCCCAGTCTGATTCTCGCCAGCTTCCAGCAGGCTAAGGCGACGTTCTTAGGCAAGGGGGATATAAAGGTGCTAGACCACTACTAAATAGCTATAAACTGCCTAGCTGAGAAGATTAACAACCCGCTCTGCTATCTGATGCTGATGATTACGCTGACCGTCTGCTTGTCGTCTGAGACGCCAGAAGTAGTGCAAGGCTTGCATAGGTTCAGCGTTACATCCAAGAGAAAGGACCTAGGCTAACTGGCCCTCGTCATGGTTATGTAGATGATATAGTTCCTCTACCCAGGCTTGTTCCCCTAGGCGAAGGGCTCAGGTGGGACGGCATATAATATAGCAGAGATAACGAAGAAGATTAGTAGGCAATACTAACACCATCACGCAGTCCAGACAGATATTAAGGATTGAGGCTAACTTGCGTGGCACTAGAGCATAAGGGTTATAGCAACCAGATACTGCGAGAGCTAGGCTGGGTTACATCTAAGAGCTAACGCAACAGCCTGCGCAACACAGACCTACAGCTCCAGCCCCCGGGGGAGCTGCTGAAGACCTTCCAAGGTCTACGTGCAGCCTTAAAGAGGCCAGAGGAGTTTATTAGCATGGTATATAGAAGCTGGGATGGGATCTGGGTGGATCGCTGCGGAAGCATCATTAAGCACTAGGCTTCAACTGGCCTCTTTGACAGACTTCAAGTTGTATAGGAGCATGGTATCAGACTGGCGGCAGCCCACCTAGCATATAAGTCTGGACCTTACACTTATGCGTTAAAAGCTCTGCCAGTTACGCTGGCAGGCCTCCTTATCTTAGTTTATGCTATTTCTGCAACGTTTTACACTTATAAGACTTATGCAACTGTGGTCTCGCGCGCGCTCTGCAATCCAATTGGACATTTATACTAACTCGGCCGGCCTGACGCATAAATCGCAACATATAATATGCGTTGCAGGCCAGCGATAACCGTATAGCTGCCGCTACTTTGTATCCTTCACCCTAACAACCTCCTAAATCCCTGTGACACCCTTTACGTCCTAAGCTGTAATTTGGTTGTCACCTGATCCGCCGCCTACAAATAACGTTACCCTAAGTTCAAATGAGGAAGGATATCATAGACCTACTAGTAAGCGTTACCTTAGCCCTGTTAGGAAACAAGCATGCTTTTGATACGGCAAATATTTTTAGGACTATATCAGGGTTGTTAAAGTGAGACATAGCTAAGTAGGATATTCCAACCATCTCTTTATCAGTCGTCTTATTATTACTAATCTTAGACCTAGTAGGAAAGCTAAGGTCGATAAATGCAACTGCAGCATCTAGCTCAGCAGATATATAGGTCTAGCCCAGCTGATTTGAGATACTCCACCTCTACGTGAGGGAAGCAACTAGGTATCAACCTAGGCATTCCCTAACAGTTAGGAGTCTAATCCCTAAACCAAATTTGGTTTGACAATTGGTCAGGATTGGTCGAAAAAATCTGCGCACGGTCCTGGTTTCTTATCAGAAAAGGTACAACACCAAAAAAATGGTTCGCCTATAGTAAAAACGGTCCTTGAGATACATTTCCTTCTCACAAGTGACCTTGTACGTAATCACACATTCATTTCTTAACTCGAATCACGCAATCCAGCACAGTAACCAGATTCCCACCTTAGAAACGGTTATAATACCCCTTCAGCCCAGGCATTAACAAGTCATTATGTACCTGCATAATAGCCCTAGATACATGTATCTATGTTCATGATAATTCCAATCGTATGAACTCCAGTACTCGACGTCCTGATGTCTGCGATGCACGCTTTTAGAGAGCTTCAGCTACATTATGACTACAAACTACATCTTCCATTGTTTTTTCTAGATTTTTTCCATCTATCTCATAATTGATATCGCACGAACTAGACCGACGCAGTAAGTCCAATATACTTACACAGAGATTGCCCACCTAAACTCCTCTACAGGTACTCATAGAACCTGTTAGCTACACCACAGTCCCATAATCCTTGTTCCCCTCACGTTCTCTAGGTATGTCTAACCAATAGTTGTGGTATTATTTGACCCACACTGAAACCCGCATAATCATTTTCGGTGTTGTGATCAAGTTACCGTTTTTATTGGCTAACCCACGTATGCGGTCTCCGTTCCGGATGTAAATCATCACACTAACCTAACCGTGGTCTCACCCTAGAAATCCGTGACTTTAAGCCTTGTATTGAATGGACTATCTCAAGTTCTACTGCCTTTATTTCTTCTATATAAAGTAGTACATTCCTCTGATGAAGATGTGATCCTAATTCCACATCAACCTTCACTTTTTTTATCAGTAATATCAAGCATCCCTTCCTAAATCCATACATCAACATCACCATGACAGGCACCTCAGAGGGGACGCTGAAGCGTGGCCGGGGTCGTCCGCGGAAGCATCCATTGAGGCCCGAAGATACGCCTCAGCCGAAGCGTGGACGTGGTCGGCCTCGAAAGCGTCCTCCGCTGGAGCAAACTGGTCATCATGTGAAGCTCCGACGCGGTCGGTCGCGGAAGCCTCAGGCTAGTCCTCCCACTGCGACCCCACCGTCTGGACAAAAACCACTTCCCAGAGTTTCACCAGACCCATCTTTCTCCCCCTCCCGTCACATTCGTCACCTATCCCTCGACTACATCTATCCAAAATATTCTTCTTTTTCCTCACCTGAACCCGAAACGCCTGTCGATAGTGCACGAAATGGCACCGGCACAGACTCCGGCCCTGGTTTATCGTTTTCGAAAGATATCTCCAAACCAGCCCCTGCAGGTCCCACGTCTCCTGCCGCCGGCGTAGGTCCCACTACTTCGCCATCTACTTTATCTCATCCCATCAACAAGATATCTTCGTCGACAATCCCTCACATTTACCCACCGTCCAGGGACAGCGAAGCTCTTCCTAGAGCAATGATGCAAATAAATGGTATGTGTAATGCATTCTTGCTATGTTTTTGTAACTCACATTAGAGTTCATATTAAAAATGGACTTGCTAACAGGTTAGGTAAAGCTCTTGACACTGCAGAATGCCCTTCCCTCCCTTTCCGAGAATGCGTCAAGGCCTCTCCTGAACTATTTTGCACCACTACCTCCTTTGCACAAGGCGATTGCCATTCACCTGGACCCGGGTCCTCGCAGTCGTCCGTCTCGTTCAAGTCACAGATTCCCATAACACCTGTACCTTACTCACCAGAGCTGTCATGTACGACCCCTACAGCAGGAGAAAGGGATTCGTGAGCATAGCAACCCTTCTATATGAAGTTGTAGTATAATATCGTTATTGTATAGACTTTGTCGATCATCAGAACCATCATGCTACAGTGATTGAAGACCCTCTTGAATGTAGCTTGCGATTGGTCGTGAGAAGAAGGACATAGGATATATCCAGATAGAGTTACTTCTTGTTTAATATGTAGATCTCGCCTAACAGTTATGCAACTACTATCTTAATACGTCACCTCATTAACAATCGAGTCAACCGAATATCATACAATGAATTTTCTACTGTTAACCTAGTGCCTAGGTCGAAAAGAACTTCGTTCTTACGATGAGGTAAGTTTACCTGTCCACAATATCAGCACACTAGAACGAGTTAGGGTGGCAGTAATATTCCACATCGCTAGCAACAACAGTGCCTGTCTGAAGGCCCTCTCTATCCGTCTATGTTATAATGTTCTATCGAAAAAGGTTAAGAATAGCGGTGTATTTAATCCGTTGGCTACGCAGTTAGTATGATAGGTGCGGCCCTATCCTCGTAGTATTCATCAAGCGACGCCCCAGCAGAGTTCCAATCGTTAAATTGAAATTCGCAACGCCGAAGAGGATTGAGGAATGTAGAGGAAGAGGGGTCTAGTGAGGAATCTCCGCAGTGTGGCGAGGTACATCAGGT